CACGCCTCAGTTGGCCCTTGAAAAATATTCTTTAATAAATCCACGCCGAAGTTGGCCCTTGAAAAATATTCTTTAATAAATCCACGCCTCAGTTGGCCCTTGAAAAATATTCTTTAATAAATCCACGCCTCAGTTGGCCCTTGAAAAATATTCTTTAATAAATCCACGCCTCAGTTGGCCCTTGAAAAATATTCTTTAATAAATCCACGCCTCAGTTGGCCCTTGAAAAATATTCTTTAATAAATCCACGCCTCAGTTGGCCCTTGAAATATTCTTTAATAAATCCACGCCTCAGTTGGCCCTTGAAAAATATTCTTTAATAAATCCACGCCTCAGTTGGCCCTTGAAAAATATTCTTTAATAAATCCACGCCTCAGTTGGCCCTTGAAAAATATTTCTTTAATAAATCCACGCCTCAGTTGGCCCTTGAAAAATATTCTTTAATAAATCCACGCCTCATTGGCCCTTGAAAAATATTCTTTAATAAATCCACGCCTCAGTTGGCCCTTGAAAAATATTCTTTAATAAATCCACGCCTCAGTTGGCCCTTGAAAAATATTCTTTAATAAATCCACGCCTCAGTTGGCCCTTGAAAAATATTCTTTAATAAATCCACGCCTCAGTTGGCCCTTGAAAAATATTCTTTAATAAATCCACGCCTCAGTTGGCCCTTGAAAAATATTCTTTAATAAATCCACGCCTCAGTTGGCCCTTGAAAAATATTCTTTAATAAATCCACGCCTCAGTTGGCCCTTGAAAAATATTCTTTAATAAATCCACGCCTCAGTTGGGCCCTTAAAAAATATTCTTTAATAAAAAAAATATTCTTTAATAAATCCACGCCTCAGTTGGCCCTTGAAAAATATTCTTTAATAAATCCACGCCTCAGTTGGCCCTTGAAAAATATTCTTTAATAAATCCACGCCTCAGTTGGCCCTTGAAAAATATTCTTTAATAAATCCCCGCCTCAGTTGGCCCTTGAAAAATATTCTTTAATAAATATTCTTTAATAAATCCACGCCTCAGTTGGCCCTTGAAAAATATTCTTTAATAAATCCACGCCAGTTGGCCCTTGAAAAATATTCTTTAATAAATCCACGCCTCAGTTGGCCCTTGAAAAATATTCTTTAATAAATCCACGCCTCAGTTGGCCCTTGAAAAATATTCTTTAATAAATCCACGCCTCAGTTGGCCCTTGAAAAATATTCTTTAATAAATCCACGCCTCAGTTGGCCCTTGAAAAATATTCTTTAATAAATCCACGCCTCAGTTGGCCCTTGAAAAATATTCTTTAATAAATCCACGCCTCAGTTGGCCCTTGAAAAATATTCTTTAATAAATCCACGCCTCAGTTGGCCCTTGAAAATATTCTTTAATAAATCCACGCCTCAGTTGGCCCTTGAAAAATATTCTTTAATAAATCCACGCCTCAGTTGGCCCCTGAAAAATATTCTTTAATAAAATCCGGTGAATTTTTCAGTAGGTTTTAATAACTATAAGCCTTGATTTATTAAAGAAAATAATGGAATATATACAAATTTTTTAATATTACAGGATATTTTTTAAATAGGGTTTTCTCCAATATAATTTTTAAGTTTATTAACGATATGAGAATAAGTTACTTAAAAATAATATTACTCGACTTAAATGTGTATATATCTATATATATATATATATATATATTGTCTTTTATATTTATTTACTCCACATATTGAGTTTGTTTTACATCATTACTCAACGGCAATGATACATCTTCATCCTAATAATACGATTCACCACAAATACATTGAGACCATGCCGCCATCGTTTTCTTATCACTAACGACAAACTGCAGGAATAAAACGAATCCTTGAAGTGTTGAGGTTAAACAGAATAGGAACGACATAACTTGACTCTCTTTCATATGGGCCAGTATGCCAAAAATCCATGTTAAACCCAAAAAGAAAAATAATACTATAGATAAACGCACCTCCAAGACTATCCTTTTGTGATCCTTGCTAACCCTGCATTCACTCTTAGTGCAGAGCAAAAAACACATGGTGTACACATATAAACCGACATTGATGGTTACAACAGTAGCTATGGGTGCAAATATGCCAACATAGAAGCTCCAACCGGATGGATAGCAAATATTACTGCTAAGCAAGCCGCTCTCTGAAAACGGTATATAAGACTGCGGATTCACAAAAGCCACGATCAATGTCGGCACCAATGGTAGGCCCCACGCAATTAGCATATATTTGACATTATCACATGTGGTTCGAATAGTTTCAGTGATTTGGGTATAGCGTCGATACTGAAACCTTGCCAGTAGTAACAACCACATGAACAGTACCAAAACAAAATATTGCAAGAGGGCACCTTCAAAAATGCAATACTGCAGATTGTCGCTATTTATAAAGGACTGACGTATATCACCGATATTAATGAATAGGAAATATGCCATGATCGGCGTTAGGACCGCACAAATATTTAGCAGCACTAAATTCGATGTTTTCCGCCGCCATTGCGGACAACACAATGTTGTCATCCAAATGGCAAATAATCCGAACAATGACAATAAACAACCACAAATTGTTATTATGTCCTGGCTATAGCCGAGGACGACGCTGAGTACAGTCGTATTAGTGGCTTTGACATGTGACGCCTTCAAACGTAACAGAGCACCAAAATTTAAGTTTTTCACTTTACACACTGATGCATAATCCGATCTAGTGATGCTCAGATCGCTTAAACTCCAAAAATCATAGTTGTAGGAGCCACAACCCATTGGTGTGGGGGTGTTCTCGGGATCCGTTGTGCTGAATACATATGGTATGGGTGTGGGTAGGTCTTCTATAATCACACAAAAATAACGTGAATTTAGATATAATATAAGAAAATAATTTAGTTATTAAAATTTTATAATGTTTAACACGTAGGTATTGACTATTATCTACATAAAAAACCAGTTAATTTTGTCACTACCAAATCGAATGAGAGTACTTAAAAAAATACTTTTTTTTTAATTTATTACTGTTTGTAGATAAAAGATTTTCTAAGAAGAGATCGGGTAAAACTGGAAAAGGACTATGAAAACATACGGTTTAAGATAGGCTTGGATTTTTTGAAAAGAAATTTTCAATGTACCAAAAGGGTCGTGGATTTTAAAAATATTATTTAAATATTTTGCCAAAGTACCAGAATAGACGAGAATAGTATGGGGGGTATATTAATTTTGTCATTCCGTTTGTAACTCACCGAAATATTCATTTCCGACCCTATAAAGTATATATATTCTTGATCAGGGTAAAATTCTAAGACGATCTAGCCATGTCCGTCCATCCGTCTGTTGTAATCACGCTATCTTCCGAAGGAATTTAGATAGGGTGCTGAAATTTTGCATAGGGTTGTCTTTTGTCTGCAGGCAGGTCAAGTTCGAAGATGGGATATATCGGTCCACGTTTAGGCATAGCTTCCATATAAGGGTACCCCCAAATTTTTGATATTTTGGGGTTCATGAGCGCGTTTTTCAACCCAATTCGCTGAAATTTGGTACATTGGGTTCTTATTGGGTTCCAAATCCCTCCACAAAAAATTATAAAAATAGGTCCATTTTTTCTGGTAGCCCCTTATATAAGGGTACCCCCAATTTTCGGTATTTTGGGATTCTTGAGCGGAGTTTTCAACCGAATTCGCTGAAATTTGGTATATTGGTTTCTTATTGGGTACCAAATATCTCCACTAAAAATTATAGATATAAGTCCATTTTTTCTGGTAGCCCCCATATAAAGGTACCCCCAAATTCCGACATTTTGAGGTTCTTGGGCGCGTTTTTCAACCGAAATCACTGAAATTTATTATTTTGTAGCCGTGTATGGAAACTAATCTCCCTACCAAAAATTATTAATAGTCAACCCCTTTTTGGCGTAGTCCCCATATAACCCCATTTTTTTATATCAATATAATTATCATCACGTACGGTTCGATAATGAGGTATATGTGAACTATAGCCCACATTTAGGCTTAGCCGTAGCCGTAACCAGAAGGCATGGACCGATATTCCCCAAATTCGGACTTGAACTATGTTTGGAAGACATAATAAGATGGGATGAAATCAAATTTTTCTGAAACGGATTTGGTCCAAAGAAACATGGGGTCTAGAACCAATATGAGGCACATTTTCACCGTGTGAAAGTGAATATACACTAATTAGCCATAAGGCTGAGGGTATAATTTTCTATTAAAAATTATTATTTACATAATCGGTTTGTAGAAATGTCGGTATAGGTCCATTTTTTGGTATGTTCCCTATATTTTCATTTCAAGTTCCTGCCAGTATATCTATGGTGGAGGGTATACAAAGTTCGGCCCGGCCGAACTTATCGCTTTCTCACTTGTTAAAATTATTTTTTCAAAGTACCAGAAGAGACTTGGAGTTTTAACAAATACAAATAGTTTGGTTGGGTATAATATGGTCAGCCTCGTCCGACTATACTGATCCTCTCAATATTTTTTACAAATGAATAAAAAATGATAACTGATAATCCGCAATAACCTTTCATAACGGTGTAGTAAATAATACTATTTAAACATGATGGTTACAAACGTATCACACATATAATATGTCGTGTATTTACCTTCATATCCTGGTACAGAGACTTTCAACACAACACTATCCGGAGCACGATGTTCTTTTCCAACAAAGAAATTTCGATTTTTATATAAAGAAATCCGTATAGCTGGCAACTGATTGTCTTTTTTCTGCTGTACATTTTGTAATTCTGCCCACGCATCTTCAGGAAAATAGACAGCATTAATAATATATGGATCATTGATGAGGTCCTCTAATGACTCATTTAAACCAATAAATTTGAAATAGGTGTTTGTGTGGTTGTCATAACGCATTTCCTCCGAACCCGATGGCGCACTATATGTACCAATACCCGAAAGGTTTGAACAGTTTGGATAAATGTAAAAAACACTTGTCATATTTTCTATGAAATATTTGACGCCATCTGGTTGATCCGAACAATCCGTTGTGTTGGGCATAAAAATACTGATCATATCATCGTAGTAGGACTCAACGGTGCGTACGAGATTATTGGGGGTATTTGTTGGTAGCGAGTTGAGTACAGCAGTTTCTTCGGATTGCATTAGCAGATCGGTGACTTGAATAAATTTTGATGCCATTGAGGGGGTTCGATCGGCGAATGTCATAATTTTCATTATATTTGTAGAAATCTCCAGATCACTGGCAATGCGTTTGGTATCATTTCGACCCAATATCTTAGTCAGTTCTGTGGCCACTTTTTCGCTATCTAAAGTTTGGTTTTGGTTTTCATTTTTCACCTCATGATAGAGTGTGTTCAGATCATTTGTAATAAGTATTTCATTGATCTCCTTCAAGCATTTCACCTTGCCATCCAGCTTTTGCCATTCGGCCTTATATGTTCGGTTATTGTATATGCATTTTCGATTTAAGGATCGACCGCTGGGAAGCAAACATATATCGAGAGGTATAGCCAATTCATTCATGGTCGTGGCGGGCCATTTATTGGTATGCTTTTTATGAACATTGTTCTTCATTAGATATATATGTTCAAATGATTCTTCCTGACAGCTGCGTTGTTCAATTATTTGGCAATCCACGATATCGGAAAGAGTATTCTCCCATGCTTGTGTTTTATCTCTCCGTTTTGTTCCACTACATTGGTGTTGCAGTGGAGAAAGACCTGTCTGGTAAGAGCAAAGATCGACAATTGGATGTATGTCCTTCTTCGTTGTTGGAGACCATATGGCAAGAGAGTCTAACTGGAAAATTGTGCCGTTTAGTTTGCGCGTATGAAATGTGGTGGCGTAAACATCTTTATCACAGAACTGATCCTCTGACTAGACATTTGACAATAGAACACTTAGGATTATGTAGAGCAATAGAGACATTTTCCCGACAATGTCGTTGTTAACAAAACACCGCGATATCTTTGGGAACTGAAATGCGACTGGTCGTTTCATTCCTTAACCTTTATATAGAAATACATATTTCACAGATATTTTTTACCACACACCACAAGTGGATTTAAAAATAAAGTATGATTGAGAAATTAAAATGTATACATTTAAATGTTACAATGTTGCAAACCCATCTTACGTTTTTTTTTTTGCGAACGTGCATGATTTTGGTGATTGAAAAGGCGATCCTAATTATATCCTCAAAAATAACTGTGGTTATATTTTTAATTACTTTGGTCTGCTACATACAAATGTACAACAACATAAAACCACAGTTTGGTTTTCGATTGGGTTGACATCTCAAATCACACGTCGTACCTAGAAAATAACGATAAGAAGTATATCAATGTCCAAATGTAACATGAGTGTTGCTTTAATTTATATTTATATTTTGTCAGGTTGATAGATCATAGGTTTACTCTAACCAGATATATAATGGAAGCTTTAAATCGACATACGAGGACGGTTCGGAAACTTCTTATCCTATCAATGAAAGAGAATAGTTAGTTTTTCAAAGATATTTTTATTTGTCAATATAACCTCCTGAAACTTCAATACACTTAGTCCAACGCTTTTCTAGTTATTCTATTCCTTGATTAAAATAGTTTTCCTCAAGGTCTTCAAAATAGTGGTCTACAACTGTAATTGCATCTTTATTTGGGGTAAAACGATTGCCAGCAAGGATTTTTTTGTTTTGATTTGGGAAGAAGTAAAAGGCGAATAAGGTGGGTGGTCCAGCAACTCGTACTGTAATTCATTGATTTTAGCCATTGTTAAAACACTCGTGTGTGCTGATGCGTTGTGTTGATGAAGAAAAAAATGTTGTAAGCCAGGACGTTTTTCTCGAATTTGTACATTTAATTGAGCCAAAAGGTTGCATTACTACTCTGAATTTATTGTTTTACCCTTTCGCAGATAGTCAATCAATAAAATACCTTTGAAGTCCCAAAAACCGTTGCCATAACCTTACCAGCCGATTGAATTGTGTTTGCCTTCTTTGGGGCACTTCCTCCAGCTTCAGTCCATTGTTTGGATTGTTTTTATACCCTTCACCACACTGCACTATAGGTCAAATGACCACTTTTTCTGTGCAAAATTAATAGCGGCAACAAAATCATAGTATTCATCATGAAATTTGGCCTAAATGATTTTTTTTGTTACTAGAATTGTTATTGTTGAATTTGAAAGAAATCGGTTCAGATTTGGATATAGATCCCATATATACTTTCATCCGATTTCAGGTTTAAGATGTACAAAATCGGTAATATACAACGGATTGCGATGAAATTCCGTTGGTACATTTTTTTTTGAGTCTGCAAATAAGTGTGTCGAATTTGGAAGAAATCAGTTCAGATTTGGATATGGCGCCTATATATATTTTCATCCGATTTCAGGTTTAACATGCACCAATTCGGTAAAACGGATGGCGATGAAATTTGGTTTGTAAATTTTTTTTTTTTTTTTTTGAGTCTGCACATAAGTGTGTCGAATTTGGTCAAAAGCGGTTCATATTTAGATATAGTTCCAATATATATGCTCTATCCGATTTCACGTCTAAGTAACTCAAAACCCACAAAATACACCCGATCATCGTAAAATTTAGTTTGTATGTTTTTTATAGGCTAAAAACAACTCAGAAATGTTGTTTCAGAAAGGGCCAGATTTAGATATAACATCCATATATATGTTCCATCCGATTTCACGTTTAAACTACGCCAAAATACAATATACACCCGATCATAACGCAAATCAGAAATGTCTCTGCCAAATTTGGTTCAAATCGGATCTGATTTAGATATATCTCTCATATATATGTTCTATCCGATTTCAACTTAAACCACTCGTTTGCATTATACCACCCTTTTCAAAAGTTATATTCTAAAAGGAAAGCTAGAGCTTCATCCGCAGAAAGTGGAATAGACTTTTGGGGTTCTTTGGGTGTCACGTTTCTCAGTTGAAAGGTCAGTAGCTTCTTTTCTTTTACCAAATTCATAGTTATACCCTACACAACTATGTTGTCAGGGTATTATAGCTTTGTGCAGGCCCAAATGTTTGTAACGCCGCGAAATATTGGTCCTAGACCCACCTTTAAGTATACCGATCGTCATATCTCGACTAGCTGAGTCGATCTAGACATGTGTGTCCGTCCGTCCGTCCGTCCGTCCGTCCGTCCGTCTGTCCATTATAATTTGTAAACACGATACAGGCCACAGTTATGGACCAATCTTCACGAAATTTTGCATGTAGGATGGGTTCTGGCCAATGAAGACCCCTATTGTTTTTGGAAAAGATCGGTTAATACTTAGGGGGTGAAATGGACCAAATACTAAATTTTTGTCGGTTTTTCTAGTCGCTCCAGAGGCCGCAATTATGGCCCAAACACCGCGAATTTTTGCATGGAGAAGGGGATCGGGTCAGAGAATAAGCATGCATGTTTTTATAAAGATCGGTCAATATTTAGCGGGTCAAATGGACCCTGACTTTTGTGTGAAAAATGACAAAATTTGTATTCTATGGCATATATATTTACTCCTGGAGGATGTAGACCCCAGGAGTTGATAACATATCCAAGAGGAGTGGTTGACCTTTAAATTGATACCAAATATAGTGATGTATCTACTCAGATGTGGGAGTTACAGTCAAATATTTACATGTGCTTACGTATTCAGATATTATTTAGTAATCCATTACCACATTAAAGGGAGAAATATCGCGCTGATGGCTTTGACATTTTTCATGAAGTTCCAGTTATGGTCAAGAACAACGCCTACAATTTTCGGTGATGATCAGATTAAAATTTTGGGATGAAATGGACCGAAAACATAATTTTTTGTGTGTTTTCGAGTAGAGTATAATCCGAAAATCACAACGCACCCACCGTGAAGGTAATCTGGACAAGTAATTAGAAGGACTGTACAAGAGGGGGCTGTACAAGAGGGGGCAAATATCAGGAAATATTACTCAGACTCGGAATAAACATCCTCAGAAAGTTAGAGTTCGTGGTAGTTGTGTAGGGTATCGTATGGTCGGCCCCGTCCGACTATACTGCTCCGCTCACTGGTTTTTATTATGTGACGTTTTTTCAGAACAATTCTTAGGCAAAAAATTTTAATCCGAATATAGCCATTCATGATTTTTGTCTTTGAAAACATTCATGTTCCTGTGACATTTTTACCAACTTTGCGCTAATTTTCAGCAAAATAAATGAATGGTTTGCTTTAAATATTTCTCTCTTTCATCCGAAATGTTGTCGACATCAATTTTGCTCACTTACTCTTTGAAAACAGCATCAGCTTTTTTTCTTTTTGTTGCCTTCTTTTCGACATATTTCAAAAAGATCGATTTTTTTATACGGAGGTTGCCTAGAAAAAGAGGCATTACTCGCAAAACGCAAAAAATCGCAACTTGAAATAAATTGAAAATAACTCATTAGTTATCACTTAATTTATGTGCAAAATTTCAAAGAGGTCATATTGGGTCATTTTGTTTAAGTTTACTGAAAGTCGATATATCAAATTATTTTAAGTCTTTAAAGTCTTCATAGGCTAATGGCTTCTTTTCAAGTATAGTGTCGCAAACATAAACATGTTTTGATTTAATATAAATATGCTCACTTGTATCTATATTTTCCATTTTACACTAATTAATGATCGTAAACACAATCGAAATAATATGCACTCAAAGTTGACTAATCACCACTGAAATATAAGCATATTTATAGAATAAACTATATTGAGCGACTTGCACGGCCAGATGTGTGACGGTACCTCATATTTAGCACTAATAAATATCACGTCTCTCTATTTTGGAGTGTTCTAAATACAAAAACAACAACAACTCCTGGAACTCCGACACTTTGATATTTTCAATTTTGCACAGAAAAACCGGTCATTTGACCTATAGTGCACTGTGGTGCAGGGTGTTATGTCTTTGTGCATATGTTTGTAACAGACAAAAGGAATTGAAATAGACCCATAGTTTCTTTTGATAATATGCATAGAATCACTTTCTGAGTCGATTACGCATGTCCACTTTCTGAGTCGATTTACGAGTCATATTTAGTTATAGCTCCCATATATAGTTAAGTCCGGTTTTTTATGACTGGTACACCAGACTCCCAATATTTGTCCGATTCAGCAAAATTTTGCATAGCGACTGCATTTGAGGAGAATATTATGTGTGACAAGATTTATTGATATATATTTTCGTTCCATTTTATGTAAATGGTGCACTGAAGGGATCATGTTTGTTTGATTTACATGAAATTTGGCAGAGGGAATATTTCATACAAATGGTACACCAAAGAATCCTAGTCTGCCCATTTGACATGCAATTTTTCATTGATTTCAGAATGGTATGTGTATGGGGTTTTTTTCAATTGGTTCAAATATCTATCTAGATAACAATTTTAATTTCGCCCGATTCCATCTTAATGGTCCTCCAAAGATTCTATGTCTGTTCTATCTTCAGGATATTGTAGTCATTACATCGCTTGTATGTACCCAAAGTTGTGAAGGGTATCACATAGTCGGCCCCGTCCGACTTTTGATCTTTCCTTACTGGTTTATATTAAAATAGTTAACTGATCTATTCCTATATAAAAATACCTACCGATTTAATAATTATTGTGAAGGAAGGTATTGTGATACAAAACGAAAATGTTAGAATCGAAATTGAGCTATATCGGTCCTCAATTATGCATTTCTACTCATATAATGATATCTCCAAATGTTCGGTAATTTCTACACGATGTAATCAATATTGATAACCCTTAGTTAGAGCCCAACATTTAACGTTGCCCTGTAAATTACAGTATTTTGAGGATTTTATACACATTTTCCATCCTAAAACTTCGACATCAATATCGGTCCAGGTTTTTGGGGTTTTAGATGTTATGAAAAATCATCAATAAAAATTGCTGAAATTTATATTTGGTGTACATTATGGTTTAAACCAGTAAGGAAAGTAGTAAAGTCGGACGGGGGCGACTATATGATACCCTTCACCACTTTGGCATATTCAAAAGATGAATCCTAACAGAATTCGAATTTTTGAATGACCCTTAACATGAAAATGCATCCATAAACATGTCAATCTGCCACCTATACTAAATTTTTCATTTGGTCAGATATAGGGTTGGTTCTTATGTTATAGTAACTTCTGAACGTAGTGCAAAATTTTGTGCCGATTGGACCCACCTTGTTGAAGCATTTATATCCAACCTCTAGATTTTACTAACTTTAGTACGTTGTGCAAAATTTGTGTCAATTTGGAGTAAAATCGGACGAAAATATATATGTAGAAACTATATCAAAATCTGAACCTATTTCAATGAGACTTGCAGGAGATTAACTACAGTTCATTGTAAAAAATTGAGGGGCAATCGGACACACAAGTGCACAATTTACATAAAATCGGAAGAAACTATATATGGGAGCTATATCTAATTCTGGACCGATTTTCAGGATACTTAACACACATCATTCTAGACCTAATTCATTACGCTATGCCAAATTTCGTGCAAATCGATAGATATATAGGAACTTTGGTGCACCATTTACATTAAATCGGACGTAAATATATATGGGAGCTATATCTAAATCTGGACCGATTTTCAGGAAACTTAAAACACACATCATTTTAGACCTAATTCAGTACGCTGTACCAAATTTCGTGCAAATCGAAATATATATAGGGACTTTGGAACACCGTTGACATTAAATCGGACGAAAATATATATGGGAGCTATATCTAAATCTGGACCGATTTTCAGGAAACTTAACACACATCATTCTAGACCTAATTCAGTGCGCTGTACCAAATTACGTGGAAATCGAAAGATATATAGGGACTTTGGTACACCATTTACATAAAATCGGACGAAAATATATATGGGAGCTATATCTAAATCTGAACCGATTTTTTTCCAATTTTAATTGGGTTCGTCCTTGGGCCAAATAAGTGACCTATGCCAAATTTCATCTAATTCGGATCATAAGTGTGACCTGTACTTTGTTTACAATTTAACGTGGACAGACGGTCGGAAAGTGATTCTATGCATATTCTGAAAAGGAACCATGTGTCTATCTTGTTTCCTTTTACTTGTTACAAACATATACACAAATACATAATACCATGTACCACATTGTGGTGAAGGATATAAAAATCGATTGGTAGAATTGTCGAAATATGTCCTCATTTTGATATGTTCCCTATATTTTCATTTCACGTAACTATCAGAATACCTATGGTGGAGGGTATCCAAAGTTCGGCCCGGCCAAACTTAATGCCTTTTCACTTTTTAACAACTAAATTCTTTGATTTAAAAATATATATTTTTTAACTATAAGAGTAGATTTGTTTTGAATTTGTTGCAATTTTCAAGCATTTATTTTTTTAAATATTTTTCAAACTTTAAGTGTCGATTTTTGTCGAACTGTCTTTCATGCTATTTGAGTATTCCGATTTGATCCAATCTTTGCAATACTGTCACCAGTGAAACTTAGATCAAGTCCCATTATGGGACCCATGGTACCTCCTCAACAAAGTTTCAACATTTTGAATTGAGTAATTGCTTAAAATATCTTTTTTTTTGTCTGTTAAAGTTAATTTTTTAATAGTTTTAAATTATTGGATATTTTGTGAATATGTTCTACAATATTACTTATGAGAGTGAGCTACTTAAAAATAATATTATTCGACGTAAAGGCAGCTTAACTTAAATGCCAATAATATATCTGAAGTTTTTTTATATTTATTTACTTCACATTTTGATTTTATTTTATATTATTACTCAACGGCAATGATACATCTTCATCCGTATAATATGATTCACCACAAATACATATAAACCATGACGACATCGTTTCCTTGTCACTGACGACAAACTGCAGGAATAAAAAGAACCCTTGTAGTGTTGAGGTTAAACAGAATAGGAACGACATAGCTTGACTCTCCTGCATATGGGCCAGTATGCCAAAAATCCATGATATTCCCAAAAAGAAAAATAATACTATAGATAAACGCAGCTCCAAAATTATCCTTTTGCGATCCTTGCGAACCCTGGATTCACTCTTAGTGCAGCGCAAAAAACACATGGTGTACACATATAAAGCGACATTGATGGTCACAACAGTAGCTATGGGTGCAAATATGCCGAAATAGAAGCTCCAACCAGATGGATAGCAAATATTACTGCTAACCAAACCGTTTTCCGAAAATGGTATATATGACTGCGGATTCACGAATGCCACGATCAATGTGGGCACCAATGGTAGGCCCCACGCAATTAACATATATATGACATTATCACATGTGCTTCGAATAGTTTCAGTGATTTGGGTATAGCGTCGATACTGAAACCTTGCCATTAGTAACAACCACATGAACAGTACCAAAATTAAATATTGCAAGAGGGCACCTTCCAGAATGCAATACTGCAGATTGTCGCGATTTATAAAGGACTGACGTATATCACCGATATTAATGAATAGGAAATATGCCATGATCGGCGTTAGGACCGCACAAATATTTAGCAGCAATAAATTCGATGCTTTGCGCCGCCATTGCGGACAACAGAGTGCTGTCATCCAAATGACAAATAATCCGAACAATGACAATATACAACCACAAATTGTTATTATGTCTTGGCCATAGCCCAGGATGACATTGAGCACAGTCATATCAGTGACTTTGACATATGACGCCTTCAAACGTAACAGAGCACCAAAATGTAAGTTTTTCACTTCACACACTGATGCATAATCCGATTTCGTGATGCTCAAATCACTTAAACTCCAAAAGTCATAATTGTAGGAGCCACAACCCATTGGTGTGGGGGTGTTCTCGGGTTCCGTTGTGCTGAATATATATGGTATAGGTAAGGGTAGGTCTTCTAAAATAAAAACGATATCGGTAATTTAGATTAAATATAGGAAAATAATTTAGTTATTAAAATTGTAGTAGTAGTTTTTATAATGCGTAGGTATTATTAAAAGGTAATTATAACATTTAATATTCCTATTGACTTTTAACTACAGAATAAACGATCATAAGGGGATTTTAATTTTTTTTTTCAAATTACCAAATGGGGCTTGACTTTTTTAAAAAACCTTTTCAAAGTTCCAAAGGAGGCTTGGATTTTTTAAAAAGGGTTGAATTTTTTAAAATATTTTTTTTCGAATGAGAGAGAGGAATTTTTAACATCTAATCGGTCAGGAGGGTGCAAATATAGCCAAATATTCCTCTGCCTCGGAATATATTTCCCCACGAAGTTAGAGTTCAGTGGCAGTTTGGTTCCGTGGTAATATGGTCAGGCTATTCCGACTACACAGATCCTCTCACTATTTTTTAGAAATTAATAATAATAGCTGTGCAGTAAATAATAATATTTTAACACAGTGGTTACAAACTTATCACAGGTATAATATTTCATGTATTTACCTCCATATCCTGGTACTGAGACTTTCAGCACAACACTATCCGGAGCACGATGTTTTCTTCCAACAAAGAAATTTCGATTTTTATATAAAGAAATCCGTATTGCATGTACCTGATTGTCTTCTTTCGGTTGCATATTTTGTAATTCTGCCCACGCATCTTCAGGAAAATAGACAGCATTCATAATAAATGGATCATAGATGAGGTCCTCCAATGATTCATTTAAACGAATATATTTGAAATAGGTGTTTGTGTGGTTGTCATAACGCATTTCCTCCGAACCCGATGACGCACTATATGTACCAATACCCGAGATGTTTGAACAGATTGGATAAATGTAAAAAACACTTGTCATATTTTCTATGAAATATTTGACGCCATCTGGTTGATCCGAACAATCCGTTGTGTTGGGCATAAACATTCTGGTCATATTGTCGTAGTAGGACTCAACGGTGCTTACGAGATTATTGGGGGTATTTGTTGGTAGCGAGTTGAGTACAGCACTCTCTTCGGATTGCATTAGCAGATCGGTGACTTGAATAAATTTTGATGCCATGGAGGGGGTTCGATCAGCGAATGTCATAATTTTCATTATATTTGTAGAAATCTCCAGATCACTGGCAATGCGTTTGTGGTCTTTTCGACCCAATATCTTAGTCAGCTCTGTGACCACTTTTTCGCTATTTAATGTTTGGTTTTCATTTTTCACCTCATGATAGAGTGTGTTCAGATCATTTGTAATAATTGTTTCATTGATCTCCTTCAAGCATTTCACGTTGCCATCCAACTTTTGCCATTCGGCCTTATATGTTTGTTTATTGTATATGCATTTTCGATTTAAGGATTGACCGCTGGAAAGCAAACAGATATCGAGAGGCATAGCCAATTCGTTCATGGCCGTGGCGGGCCATTTATTGGTATGCTTTTTATGAAATTTGTTCTTCATTATATAGTCATGTTCAAATGATTCCTCCTGACAACTGCGTTTTTTAATTATTTGACAATCCACGATATCTGTAAGAGTATAATCCCATGTTTGTGTTTTATCTCTCGGTTTTGTTGCACTACATTGATGTTGCAATGGAGGAAGTCCTGTCTGGTAAGAGCATAGATCGGCAATTGGGTGTATGTCCTTCTTAGTTGTTGGAGACCATATGACAAGGGAGTCTATCGGGAAAATTGTGCCATTTAGTTTGTACGTATGAAATGTGGTGTCGTAAATATCTTTATCACAGAATATATCTTTTGACTGCACATTTGCCAATAGAACACTTAGGATTATGTAGAGCAATAGAGCCATTTTCCCGACAATGTCGAAATTAACAAAACACCGCGATATCATTGGGAAATTGAAATGCGACTAATCAATTCATTTCTCAACTTTTATATAGAAAAATATATCAGAGATACTTCTCAACACAAACCACAAGTGGCTTTAAAGATAAAGTATGATTAAGAAATTTAATATATATACATATAAATGTTACATCGCAGCCCCACCTTAATCGTCTATAATTACGTGTATATGTGTTTTTTTTAGGAACGTGCATGGTTTAGTTGACTGAAAGCCGATCCTAAACATATCCTCAAAAGTAAGTAACTACGGTTATATGTTTAATTACTTTGGCCTGTTACATACAAATGTACAACAACATAGTAACTCTGTTTGGTTTTCGATATAAATATTGCGATTGGGTTGACATCTCAGATCACACTTCGCCAATCAATGTCCAAGTGTAACTTGAGTGTTGCTTTAGTTCATATTTAATTTTTGTCAGGTTGAACGATCATAGGGTTATGACAATATTGTCTATAATCACATTTTTTGGAGTTACACTAATCAGATATATAATTGAAGTTTCAGATTGATATACCAGAGCGGTTCGGATACCTCTTAGCCTGTCAATGAAAGAAAATAAGTAGTTTCTCAAAAATATTTTTATTTTCCAATATAATCTCCTGAAACTTCAATACTCTTAGGCCAACGCTCTTCTAACAATTCTATTCTTTGATTAAAATGGTTTTCCTCAAGATCTTCAAAATAGTGGTCTTCTAACAATTCTATTCTTTGATTAAAATGGTTTTCCTCAAGATCTTCAAAATAGACAGTAATTGCATCTTCATTTGAGGAAAAACGCTTGCCAGCAAGGAATTATTTTTAGAGTTGAGAACAAGTAATAGTCACTGGGAGCTAAATCATGTGAATAAGGTAGCAACTGGTACTATAATTCGTTGATTTTAGCCATTGTTAAAACACTCTTGTGCGGCACCCATCTTGCAGAAAGCCTTTTCATCTGCAGTTCTTCATGCAAAATTAAATGGACTCGATCATTTGAGATGCCCATGACATTAGCAATTTCATGAACTTTTATTCGGCGATCATTTAATACCATATCACGCACTTTGGCTACAATTTCTGTTGTTGTTGTTGCTGTTTTTGGACGTCCACTACGTGGTTCATCTTCAATGCTTGTACGGCCACGTTTAAATTCAGCAAACCCAATTATTATACCTTTCACCACACTGTGGTACAGTGAATTATGTCTTTGTGAATATATTTGCAACAGGTAAAAGGAATCGAGGTAGATCCATGGTTCCATTTGAGAATATCGATTTACGCATGCCCGTCTGTCCGCCCGTCCGTCCATGCATTTTTGTGAGCAAAGTACAGGTCGCATTTATGGCACAGTTCACTTATTTGGCCCAAGGACGAAACCTATTGAAATTGGAGGAAATCGGTTCAGATTTAGATATAGCTCTCATATATAGTTTCGTCAGATCTTAACTAAATGATGCACAAAACTCCCAATATTTGTCCGATTCACCACTTTTTGTATGTCATATAGTCGGCCCCTCCTTTTTATACCCTTCACCACACCACACTTTGCATGTGTTCGTAACAGGCAAAAAAAAAAAAAAATCGAGATAGACACATAGTCCCTTTTGAGAATATGCATAGAATCACTTTCTGAGTCGATTTGTCCGTCCGTCCGTCTGTCCATGTTAAATTGTAAACAAAGTACAGGCCGCATTTATGATCCGAATTGGATGAAATTTGGCACAGCTAATTCGTTTGGCCCAAGGACGAACCCTATTGAAATTGGGAAAAATCAGTTCAGATTTGGATGTAGCACCCATATATATTTTCGTCCGATTTATGGTAAATGGTGTACCATAGTCCTTATATATCTTTCGATTTGCACGAAATTTGGCATAGCGGACTGAATTAAGTCTAGAATGATGTGTGCAAAGTTTCGTGAAAATCGGTTCAGATTTAGATATAGATCCCCTATTTATATTCTCGTCCGATTTAAGGTAAATGATGTGTGCAAAGTTTCTTGAAAATCGGTTCAGATTTAGATATAGATCCCCTGTTTGTATTCTCATCCGATTTAAGGTAAGTGGCTTACCAAAGTCTCTACATATATTTAGATTTGCACGAAATTTGGCATAGTGTACTGAAATAAGTCTAGAATGATGTGTGCAAAGTTTCGCAAAAATCGGTTCAGATTTAGATATAGCTCCCATATATATTCATCCCATTTTAGGTAATTGGTGCACCAAAGTCTCTGAATGTCATTCGATTTGAACGAAATTTGTCATAGCGTACTGAATTAAGTCTAGAATGACGTGTGCTAAGTTTCGTGAAAATCTGTTCTGATTTACACAAAACGGTACAGATTGATTGACACGACGTACTGAAGAAACTGGAAGGTTTCTCTGAAATCGGTTCAGATATAGATATATAACAAACACGCGAAGTCTGTTAGGTTACATATGGAGAATATACCCAAAGTGGTGAAGGGTATCATATTGTCGACCCAGTTCGACTTTACTACTTTCCTTACTGGTTTAGAAGTTTCCGAAATGTTCTCGTAATAATTCTTTATTAGAGTTCAATTCCACTTCACTTTTTAGATTTTAATTCCACTTCAATGGTGTCTTCTGCCATTTCACTGAGATGAGTAAGAACCCTTTGATAGAGTTTAAGTGGAACGTCTGCAGCGCACGCTGGAACTCTTGTGCCATTCTTGCATTTATTCAGATGTCTGAACACAGGAGCATGTTGCGTACAATCGGTTTTTACCCATTTTATGTTGTCTTCGATTCCATATTGGTCCCGATCTTTCAAATTTCAATGAATAAATTTAAAGCTCACAATTCCGAAATAACACATTTGAATGACAAATTCTGGGCTGTAAATCACTTTACAGCAGTATTTATTTTAAAAACTATAAAGATATTTTGAAAATTATTAATATTTCGCAAATTATAAATATATGTAGTATTATTGTGAATAAATAATATATATTTTATCAATATCTAGAATACAATTTAATTTAACTGGCATACATATATAATTTATATAAATTTATTCTTAAATATTAACATCTATATAAATATTCTTCTATATTTCAGGATTAATGGGAGTTAATTGCGCCATTCCATTATCGGTTTTGGGAAAGTAATCTTTCGGAACAAAAAATCGCATCCAGGCGTATTGTGCATTTTTATCGACAACAACGAAATAGACAAACAACATTAGACCCTGCAATGTCGAGGTTAGACAGAAGAGAAATGAAAACAGTAAACTATCCCTGAGATGGGCTAATATTCCAAAACTCAACGACATAACCAAAAGAATGAACAACGTTATGGCCAAACGTATCTGGACGAGTAAATCTTTGCGATGTGTACTGTGGCGATAGGTTTTCAAACATTTTCTTAATTTGCAAAGGATATAAATTAAAATCGCAACATTCAATGCAAATAGAAGGGAAACAGGTAAGACTACAGTTAAATACAAACCAATACCCGATGGATAGCAAAGGGGCACTGAACCTTGTGGCACATACGATTTGGAATCAAAGGCAATAAGTAATGCAACGGGTATAATGGGTAGGCCCCATGCTGCCATCGCATATTTGGCCACAAAATTAGAGGAGCGTATAACGCCCACAATTGTCTTATAACGTTGATATTGTAAAATCACTATGAACAGCATCCACATGG